ACTGAATTTTGGTTATTATTTGGTTTGTGCTAAGCTTTACAAATATCAAAATCCGGAACAGGAAGTGGAAAGGTAGTTCCTACCTTTGATAACTGAAGGAGAAAAGAACCAGCTTACTTTGCTGTATATCTGTCTCTATACAATGAAATATATTTGCATGCATATTTCAATTCTATCTATCGATAACAAATTTATATACACTCTATCTTCCATATCTTTTTAATAAATAACACCAAGGTTCACGATTTAAATTTCTCGTCTCTTTTTTCATTAATCTTGTTTCTCCTACATCATGTTTTAATTTGAATTACTAGTTTGTATAGTGTGCATAAAATCATAATATTTGCATGGAGAGTGTTAACCGGTGAACTTCCTATACACGAGCGGCACTGGTACAGAGGAAGATAAATATGTAGTTAAATTGTCCGTCTTGTGGTGCAGATCTGGAAACAGGTTTTCACTGTTTGTGCAATTGCCGAGTCGCGATGGCAGCATGACTTACATCTAAATGGGTTTTTACAGAGATATCAGAAAGTTTTCTCTCAATAGTGGACTGGTTTAAGGTGTTAACTCAACAAGTTGGAAAGGAGGACTTAAGAGGAAATTATTTGTGTTATGTGGTCAATTTGGAAGGCTCGGAATTCTTTCATCTTCCAACAAGTAAGATTGGACCCGGGAGCTGTTATAGAGTTGGGTCACAAAATGATTTCACAACACCAAAATACCAATTATTCAAGTGGCCAACGTGCGATAGAAGACGTGGTTATGGAAGCCGGTGGAGGCGGCCAAATGGATGGAGATTGAACACTGATGCTGCTGTTTTTGAGATAGTTAGGAGCAGGCTTTATTGTTAGGAATTCAAATGGGGACTTAATCCTAGCAGGAGTAACATGGTTTGCACATTACTCAAGTGTAACAGAAGCTGAATTGCGATCACTGGTCTGGTCTTTGATAGTTTGTAATCCAGAAAATACAACTGTGGGTGAGATAAAACTAGACCGTAAACAAGCTGTCAATTGGTTGAAAGAAAAGAACTATAATGGAGGTATATATGGGTCATATGGTAGAAGATTGCATAGTGCTAATGGAGAGGTTGGCTTGTCACTCTATCGTTCATTGCAAAAGGTAGGCTAATATGGCTGGTCATACAATAGCCAGGTCCGTGAAAACATTGGATGTAGACCAAGTCATATGGAAAGACCTTAACGAAAAGCTGATTCAAGCTGGAAATTTTATGTAATTGGTCATGTTTGGGATGTTGGGGATAAGCATGTCTAGGTTACAAGGAATGTATGTTAGGAAGGGTTCTCTCTTTTCTTTAATTACGGTTTTTGTCCTATTGGGTTTTTTCTCTCTTGCAAAAAAAAACTTTATGATCTCTCCCTTTGTCTTCTTCGTATCTTAAATTTAAAAAATATTTTAATTTAAATACCACTAATATAGTAGTGCATATTTTATTCATTGTTAATTTGATAATAATTTAATCAATTAAATGAGTCACAATTAATAAACCATTAATCATCTTATGATAAGGATTCGGGAATTGACGATTTGTAGTTTAATCAAGATATTCAATATTGATAAAAAATAAATATATGTATAAAGAAACAATTTACACACTACAAATTAATAATTGAAAAAAGTCTAAATTCTGTCGACAAAAAAAATTGACACATGGTTCCGAAATGAACAAAATAATTTATCTTTTAATAATAAGTGGGTTTAATAAATAAATAGCTAAATAAGAATCATTTACATGAAAGAAATGCCGTTGTCTTTAAATTGAAGCTGCAGGGGAGAGTCATGAATACCCATCCTTACCTATTAACGATGATGCTTGCATATATATATTTAAGATAGTTGCAATTGCATTAACTCGGCCTGTCCAAGTCAAAAAAGTCACCTAGGAGGTTAAGAAATATAAGAATATTTTGTTTAGAAATCATATTATTATTATTTTTTAATAATTGAGAAAAAAGAGATTATAATTTTATTATTTAAATAAAAAATAATTCATTAATCAATGAACTAAATGTTCAGATGCAGAATCCATATTGTTTGATTCTCTTTAATTAGATGCATCTACCTGGTAAGTCAAAGGCATAGTTCTCTTTAATTAGAGCTGCAATTCATGCTCTTCCTTTAGGATTGCCTTTGGCCATATCCCACCAACCCATGTTTCTTTCCTTGCTCACCATGTCAGGCAGAAAACTTCAACCTTGTTGTGATATTTATTACTAATTCGGATGATAATCTATTGAAGAAGTTGTGAACCTCATAACTTGCTCCAGAGAAGTGAAGCCTTATTCAAGACATCGATCCTGATGATGCTTTAAAATTGCATTTTTGTTTTTGGTGATAGAATCTCATAAATAACTTTGAATTTGAACCATGAAAAGAAAATTCATTGAACTAATCAAACAAAGAAAATTTGTTTCTTTTGAGGTAGGTTTTTAATTGATCAAGTCGTTTAATTTAATGTAGGTCCTTTAACCGTGCAGCACTGAAAACTGAAGGAGACATCCATGCAGATAGATCAATTGCAAAGCCATGGAGAATATGCACAGTCCAACAGGTGGGAGATCTGAAAACTCTAATCAGAATCTTCCCAGTATGGGCGAGCACAGTATTTTTAGCCACCTCTATCGCAATCCAGACCAACATGACAGTTCTCCAAGCTGTAGCAATGGACCGTCACCTTGGGCCCAATTTCAAGATCCGAGCTGGATCCATCGTAGTCGTAGTCCCAATCCCCACAGCCATCTTCATTGCCTTGTTCGATCGGTTTCTGTTCCCCACCTGGCAGAAGCTGACTGGTCCATTCTTAGACCCGCCGCTACGAATCGGAATAGGCCATGTGTTCACCATACTGAGCATGGCAATATCAGGCCTGGTGGAGTCAAAAAAGCTAAAGATAGCCCATGATCACCACCTCCAGGAACAGCAGGGTGCCACAGTGCCTATGCTGTCCTTGCGGCTGTTCCCACAACTAGTTGTGGTAGGGATTGGACAAGCATCTCATTTTCCAGTAAACGTTTCATTGTACTATCAAGAATTCCCTGTCTCGATGAAAAGCACAGCAACTGCCATGATTTCTATAGTCGTCGGGATTGCTTTCTATGCGAGCACAGCTCTGGTTGATCTGATCAGGAATGTTACAAGATGGTTGCCAGCTGACATAAACGATGGGAGGCTAGACAATTTGCATTGGACCTTTGTTGTGCTGGGGTTACTGAATTTTGGTTATTATTTGGTTTGTGCTAAGCTTTACAAATATCAAAATCCAGAAGAGGAAGTGGAAAGGTAGTTTCCCAGCTTTGATAAGTGAAGGAGAAACAAACCAGCTTACTTTACAGTATATCTGTCTCTATACAATGAAATATATTTGCATGTATGTTTCAATTATCCAAAACAAATTTATATACACTCAATCTTTTGCTTCTTTTTAATAAATAACAATAAAGTTTAAAATTTAAATTTCTAATCTCCCTTTTTTTTTGTAAATCTTTTATCTTCTATGACATATTTTAATCCAAATTATTAATATATACTATGTACATAAAATAATCTTTACATCCCTCTCTTAGTCTTCCTCCTTTCCGAAATTTAAGAAATATTTCAATTTAAGTACTATCAATATAGTAGTACATATTTATTCATTGTTATTTTGATAATAATTTAGTTAATTAAGTGAGTCATGATTAAACCCTGAATCTTCTCATGAAATGAATCCAAAAGTTGACAATTTGTAAATTAAAGATATTAAATATTGAAAAAAAATATATGTACAAAGAAATAATTTATAAAAAACAATGATACATTACTTACAGTTAAAAAAAATCTAAATTTCATCGAAAAATAATTTCACATATGTTTTAGAAATGAACAAAATAATTTATTTTTTTATAATAAGTGAATTTAATAAATAAATTGACACGAAAAATGTCATTAACATGATACTGAAGCAACAGGGTGAGTCATGGAAACTCACCCTTACCTTATTTTATTTATTTATTTGTTAAGATTAGTTTAAATACAATATTGCATGATCTTTCAAAAAAATACAATAGTGCATGGCTGTCCCTATTGCCTTAGGTTATTAACAACGAAAATCATGAATAAAAAGAAAAAGAAAAATGTTGTCGGTTTTTTTTAATTCTTTTATTATTATTATTTAAATGTGGATAATCAAAGTTGCTAGCAACATATTTCATTTGCCACAAGTGCCATGTGTTCCTTTGATTTTATGATTTTTATCGTCAACATGGCTAATAATTTAATGCATTAAAATTTGTTTATATATGTTATACTATAAACCAAGACTATAAAGTTGTCATTTATAACATTTGTGGGGGACTTGGCTCTAAGTCATTATCAGTCCCAATAGGATATGATCCCTCTACATTTTTTTTTTGGGGTTCATCATCATCTCTAGGGCATCTTTTCTGTCTATATACTACTTTTATAAATGATCAAGTGCAAAGGATATAATTTATATATATATATATATATATATATATATATATAAACACATAAATCTAGCTTGATGTCCCAATTAATGGTTGTTGAGAGAGGGAGAAAAGGGACAACACCATGAAAGATAATGCAAGTGTAATGACTTGAGTCTAAGTATTATTAGTTTAGTAACTCTTCAAGCTTAAATTATAAAATTTTTAAAAATTTTAAGTTAAAATTCAAGTTGTTAATAATAATTGATTATATTTTAATAATTATATCTATTTCTTATACGAAATGGGAAATCTCATAGGGGATTCTTGTTTTTCAAAATAATTTTACTTTGGTTTGATTCCTAGATTGAAACTGACTCAAATTATGGCGTACTCCTAATAGAGTTCAAAGCAAAGTAGAAAGGAACACAAAAAGGGCCAGAATTAACAATGGCCGCCAGCATGCTGTGTGGCAACCTGCCAGGCTTTCGTCTGGAACTGATTCTCAGAGGAAGCCAAGACATGCGAATTTTGTCCAACATGCTTTAATGGAATGTTGAATATATTTTACTGCAATAAATTTTATCTGCTGCCACCTTGATTTTTTCTGCCTTGATGCTGGGAGGGTGACACAAGCACAAGCAGCTTTGTGGGGCATATTTACAGGGCAACGAGAACAGCGTATCTCTGGCTATAAATTAATCACTCGATAAGAACTCTTCAACAACAGCAGTAGTGGCAGAAGCTTGAGAGTCCAAGCAGTTCCCTGGTGACTCTGAAGCGCCAATGTCAGATTCCAGAAGCAAAAAGGGTGGTTTGATCACCTTATTCTTCATTGCAGGTCTCTTTTTTCTCTGATATGAAGTTTTTTCTCAGACACTCAACTGTGTTACAGCTTGGTTTATTGGTTGGCACGAAGCAGGGACCCTGTCAGGGGTGATGCTGTCTGGTTTCGGATGGTTAGCAAACCTGATTGTCTACCTGGTTGAGGAATTCCATGTGGATAGCATTGATGCTACTCAGATTTCCAACGTGGTTCATGGTAGTATAAACCTGATTCCAATCCTTGGAGCTGTCATTGCTGACTCCTTCTTGGGAACCTTTTCTGTTGTTGCAATTTCTAACTTTATCTCTTCCCTGGTAAAATGACTTTTTGCCTTTTATGTTCATTCTTTTATCTTTGGTGGTTTGAGTAATTATACTTCATTTGCATGATCATATAAGGCTGTTTGCTCAATCTGGTAGTTATTAAGCTCTGCAGGGGATGATTCTGCTAACCTTAACAGCAAAAATCGGCTCTTTGAAGCCCCCGCCTTGTGAAACTGGATCAAGCCTGTGCCAAACTACATCGAAACTACAATTGGCAATCCTATATGCGAGTATGGCTATGGCATCTGCAAGTTTGGGAGGGAGCCGATATACTCTAGCAACAATGGGAGCAAACCAACTTGATAAGCCAAAAGATAAAGAATCTTTCTTCAATTGGTTCTTTTTCACTATATTTGCTTCTTGCATAATAAGTTCCACAGCTCTTGTCTATGTTGAGGAAAGCATTAGCTGGGGGCTCGGATATGGCATATGTTCCGCTGCTAACTTCATTGCTTTAGCCATTTTCTTGGCCGGACACCGATTCTATCGGTATGACAAGCCACGTGGGAGCCCATTTACGGGTCTGCTTCGTGTTGCTGTTGCTGCTGTGAGGAAAAGGAAGGTCGAGCTATCATCCAGAAGTGATGATTATTACCATGAACATGATGGAACGAACAAGGTCATGCCTGCAATACCTAAACGGAGTTTCAGGTAAAAACTTTGATTTCCAAATTATATCCACTACTAATGATTAGACCTATTACTACCCACCCCTTCGTCTCTTTCTTTCACAGAAAAGGCGAATGATGCTACTCAAAACTAATAGTTTTTCTGGTATAGTCATACATGCAGAAACCAATGTCATCCCATGTGAATTTTAGGCTACTGGGTGTACTACAATGAGACGTTTTAGTCATTCAGATCATGAGTTAGTGAGTATGCCATAAAAAAAGTGCTCGGTCCTTATCCAAGACTTCCAAAGATGCTCAAAAGATAGTAATCTTTTGAAGTGTGACATCAATGGGTAGAAGGCCTCTCCATCCGTTATTTGATCCCTTGAAATTCCATATGATATGATGATCAATGAGTCGTAAGAAATATGATGATCACTTTGGTGTTAACCTTTTCAAGTTGTGATAATTTAGATGCCATTAGTTCTATAACTTTAGTGGAGAGCCCGAAGGCGCATGTGCTCCGGTCAACCCTTGCGCATGTGGCATCAAATGATTGTCTCTAAATTTGAACTAATCAACCTAAGCAATGAAGGTGAAAATGTTTTCTCCTTTGATGTAGGTTCTTGAACCGGGCAGCGCTGAAAACGGAAGGAGACATCCATTCGGATGGATCAATCGCAAGACCATGGAAGCTATGCAGTTTACAACAAGTAGAAGATCTCAAAACTCTGATAAGACTTTTCCCAATATGGTCAAGTGGTATATTTCTCACCACCCCTATAGCAATCCAATCCAGCATAACAGTTGTCCAGGCTCTATCAATGGACCGTAACCTTGGGTCCAACTTCAAAATCCCTGCTGCATCTATTATAGTCGTGATCCTAGTATCCTCATCTATCTTCGTAGCCCTCATTGATCGTTTCCTATTTCCCACCTGGCAGAGGCTGATTGGCAGGCCTCTGACGCCGCTGCAACGAATCGGAGTAGGCCACATTGTCAATGTGCTAAGCATGGGAATTTCAGCCCTGGTGGAGTCAAAACGGTTGAAAACAGCCCATGCTCACCACCTTGAGGCACAGCATGGTGCCATAGTGCCTATGCTGGTCTGGTGGTTATTTCCACAGCTTGTTGTGGTTGGCATTGGCGATGCATTCCATTTTCCAGGACATGTTGCATTGTACTACCAAGAATTCCCTGCCTTACTGCGAAGCACAGCTACTGCCATGGTTTCTTTGGTCGTCGGGATTGCTTTCTATGTCAGCACAGCTCTGCTCGATCTAATCAGGAATGTTACAGGATGGTTGCCAGAAAACATAAACAGTGGAAGGCTAGATAACCTGTATTGGATCTTAGTTACGGCAGGGTCCCTGAATTTTATTTATTTTTTAGTCTGCGCTACGTTGTATAAGTACCGAAACATTGAAAAGGAAGTCGATGATGCTTCCAGCTTTGATATATAATATTCCTGAAGAAACTAGAGCTGGAAGGCTTCATATCCTATCCCCCAAGCCAAACTTGTTACGAATTTAAGATTTTCAATTCAAAAATCTCATGATCAAACCATGGTTATATGGGAAGGTGGCGTTGAAGTTTCCTATGTACCAAAAAAGGCTATTGTCACTTCCATGTTCCTTACAAGTATTTCTCATATACGCCAATTACCCTTCATTTTAGTGATGTTACATCTTCCAAAAGCAAAGAAGGAAGATGCCAGAATTTCTTTCAATGACAAGTACAAGAATGGCTATGAGTATTGTCCTAATTTTGAAGAAAAGATAATGATTTGTACGCGTTTAGCATCTCATCTCTTTTATTTTCCACCACAAAATTGTGAGAGTGGTTCACCATCAGATTGTCAAATGAAAAAGGAAAGATGGAAGTGAGAGAGAAGGATTTAAATGAATCATTGGAGGAACTACCGTTGCAGGTGGCTGGAATCACTTAAACCCACTTTCTTAATGCATTCTGATGAAAATGCGTTCTCCACAGTTCATTATGGCCAATGCTTGTTTCTGTAGTTTAACTATTTCGATTTGTTGCAAAAAATTGATTAGTTCTTGAAGTCATGATGAGTTCTTCCAGAGGAAAACATGTGATTCGAATATGGTAGGACCTTAGGAAATGATAAGAGGAAATTCTACTGCATCATTGAGGTTTTGAATTATCTATATAAAAACAATCCCTGTGATTCTCTGTATACCATGGAGTCAAGTGCTGCTGTTTCCTTGAGATAAGACCCTAGGAAATGATAAGAGGAAATTCCACTGCACCATTGAGGTTTTGAATGATCTGTTTCAAACAATCCCTCTGATTCTCTGTATGGCATAGTGTCAAGTGCTGCTGTTTCCTTGAGATAAGACCTTATGAAATGATAAAAGGAAATTCAACTGCATCATTGAGGTTTTGAATGATCTAATATAAAGCAATCCATGTGATTCTCTGTATAGGATAGAGTCAAGTACTGTTGCTTCCTTGAGATTTCCACAATAATCCTATCAAGTTTTTGTATGTCTCTCAAAATTTTAAGTTCAAAATCTCAAATTCTACTGGTTAAGGTAACCCTTGGCATTGGGGGCAGCCTCATTAAAATATGGGGATCAGTTAATGCTCTTTTCAGTACAAGAAAAATCATGTCTAATGTCCCCATTTAAGAAATTTTGAATTATAATGGATAAAAGAGAAAATTCCATTCTATTCTCAGCATCCAAAGAATGCAGATCTGAAGTTACCGACTTCCATTCATGTATCAGTATGATTTGTTTCTTTCCAACATTTGCTGCAGGTGCATATAGCAAAGGCTTATACCAATCAGCTCAAATACCCGCATGTTCACAATCTCTAGTACAAGATTTCTTTCCAGAAACATATGGATAGCTAAATTATTCGACATTCAAAAACTTTGCATCTCTTTGCTTCATATTGTAGGTGAAATACACGGCAACTCAAGTCCTGATTCTTCTCAAGCTGATGTCCCCAATTTCTTTCAGGGAAATAGATCCTGAATGTCGAGGATATCAGCAAGCACACCTGCTGCAGTAGTATCATTCCCGGCTCCTGCGCCTTGAATAACTAATGGCTGTTCACTATAGCATCGGGTATATATTTCTAGCTGCAATTGCATCAGGTGAATGATACTTCAACTTCATATCTAATAGCTTAAAAATAGGAGCTGAATGTCTCAGCAGTTTTAATCTACCATAACCGAAAATGAGATGTTATTGTTCTATCCATAAGATAAAACCAAAAAAAAAGAAAAAGAATTTAACCACGTGGATTCTAAACTTGAAGCCTTATCATTTAGTAAATATAGTTTTTCCCTGTCCATCCAACTTCCAATGGACTAAGCACTGTAATTTCCAATATTTTGAATAATTTCCTATATTTTGAAAATGTAATTCACCATTTGAATTAGAATATTAAAGTCAGAGGAGGACCCAACATATAAAACAACAGAAAGGAGGGGCTTACCACATTGTCACTTCCTTTCAATCTTCCCAAAGCAGAATTCTTAGTAAGTTCTTGAATTCCAACTTCACACCTAAAAGCAGTAATGTGGTCATGGAACCATTAGCAAGTTCAAGGAGGGAAGAAAAACTGATGGTAATTAGGTCCAATGTTAAGGATATTTGCACAGACACTACTAGATAGACACTAGTTAAATTTAGCAAACATTATTAACACCATAAACAATCCTACTTTTTCATTTCAATTTATTTCAGAAAATTCGTTAGGGTTTACAACCAGTTTGGCTATCAGTTGGCCGGATCAATCAATCTCCTTCAACCTTCAGAGTTCTTTCTCTTTATTCAAATTATATATCAATTATACCTGCAAATCCTCCGTGATAAATCTACAATTACTTCAGACCTCAGATGAAAATAACAAATCACAACTTTTTAAATTTGCATATGTCTGTCTGTACGAGCTTGAATATGAACATTATGGTCCATGTTTCAAAAAAAGTGTCTAAAATACCTTGTGCCTTCTATCACACAGACATAACGGAGCACATTCCCATTGAGTGAAGCGTTTCTAACTCTCTCTTCAATATTGTTATCAAGCTTTACAAGCCCACCATTCAAAAAGTCTTCAACAGACATCTTACTAGGTCCCATTTCTTCAGGATACAAGCTCTCAATCTACAAAATAGATCAAACCATCAAAAGGAAGTTAAAGTTGACTGGCTATTTGGACAAATGCCAAATCAAGGTTGGAGGTGAGAGGGGCAGCCACAAGCCCATAAATCCCCATCTCATCACCCCTTCTCCCCTGAGAGAGAGAGAGAGAGAGAGAGAGAGAGTGTAAAACAGTTCTTTGAATATAGTAAAACCAACGAATTTATTTTAAACTCAGCCCCTCCAAAATTCTTATTGCTCCTAACACTACAATATTCAGTAGTCAGTATTCACCTTCATCATGACCTGGCTCAACGTTAGCAAAAGGCAAGATGAAGTATGCATACTGTTCTGAGTGCAACGTCGATGTCTATTCCTTATCTCAAAAATTGGACAACCTACAGTGTCATGCTGTGAACAAACATACATTTCCCTGTTGCTTTATTGTTGGCAAAAAGAATTATCAGCAGTTTCTATAAAATAAACAAAGTTATAAGTTCTAATAACCACTCTTGTTTTTTACAATTTCTCGATTCCTTCACAGGAAAGATGCTCATTAATTGCTTTTGTAACATTTGCAAAATATTACCCTGTATGAAGTTAATATTCAATGGAATATAGTTCTCAGCTGAAAAAATAAAAGGGAGTATGATTATTATGACTTCAAAGCAATCAATAGAACAGCAGGGAACAGAGAGTTTTACTACTGACCCTTATGCTACTTAACTCAATACACCTCCCAAGAAGTCGGGCAAGGATCAAAGCCTGCTTCATAGAATGGAAACTAAGTAAATCACACATATATGTAGTTGAAGCAATTTGTTAAAATTCTAAAGTAGGAAAAGATCAACTTCACCCTGGAGTCTATGTTACTATGATAATTCCATTTCATCACTTCGAATAAGTTATGGTGAAAAGTTGCTATTCCAGCTATAATCCTTTAGACCAAGTATGAATCAATTTATACATCAACGAGCCATTAGCAGATGTTAGATGTTAGACAGGACAAACTGGACCATAGAAGTTTCCCAAGCAAAAGACCACAATGGCTATTTATTCCTATGTCTTATATATTTTGAAAATTAAACAAATATTTTTCCTTATATTTAATATAAAATACATGAAATGACAAATAAACCTCATAAATGGATCAGCAAAGCACATAAGAGGTCCAGGAATATGATAATGCATATCTGCATGTAATAATCGTATATATGCTGCCAAACAGTTTATATTAATAGATGGCATGAGTTCATATCTAAGAGAACAGAGCTTGCAGTCCAACAATTTAAAAATATATATACAAACTAATCAGCATAAAGGGACTCTAATCATTCAAACCTTCCTGGAAACATCCATCCCACTGAGGTCATCTCGTGGATCTGCAACGACAAGATTAAGAAATAAAATTACATTTAAGCAACTCTTAAAGATCTTGCAGAATCTACCTTCTTTGCGAGAATACCACGGGCCAAAGAGAAAAGTCAAATTTTTAAAGGGTGGAAATCAATTATGCATAGCAAAAAGAATCTCAAGATTCACCTATCAACAAAGTTTTTGGCTAAAAGACAACAATTTTAGTTTTATAGAAAACCTGGTTCAGTGTATCCCAAGCTTTTAGCAGATTTAACAACTTGGCTCAATGGCTTGCCATCTTCAACCTCACTCATTACATAACCCAATGTACCTGTCAAAAACAAGTTTGTATATAAAAAAACAAATCAAAAGCAATAGTTGTATATAATTGATAACCATACCGAAAACCAAGTAGACACCCAACAAACATTCAAACTAACAGTATAGATTCATAACAATGCATTCACAAATTTTTACCGCTCAAACTTCCAACAATACGATGGATGGGGTCTCCAGATGAAATCAAGCGATTTATTGATGACATGACAGGAAGCCCAGCACCAACCTAATAGACAATAAAGCTAAATAAGTAGAAAAAGTTTGGGACATTGCAGTAGAGTTACATCAAACTCCATCTTCGCAGCCAAAAATATTTTAAGGAGATTGTTGCAACTTCACTTACAGTTGACTCATGCCGTATGAAGCGACGATGTGAAACCAATTTGTCATAATCCTCCTGCAGGACAGGGCAAAGAAAGATAATAACAATTTTAGAACAGCAGCAAGGTATAGATAAGAAAATCATAAAAATCATTAGAGAAACTGTTAATGACAGCATGAAATGCCTACTTAGTATCTCTTTACAACTGAGTCTGTTACTTTATTGATGGGTTGGTAGTTCAAAGTGAAAACATTCATGTCCACGGCATTACACAAAAAATATAATTTGACAACATGAAAAGCATCTCTAATTGTTTCAAGTTACCAGCTAATATGCTGTGTACTAGAACTTATTACCAGTGTGGATGTAAGAGGCTTTTTATTTGCCAGAACAATGCAACAACCCATGTCAACCCCTTGCTTTAGCACTCCAACAGTTTCGGAACTGGCTGAGCAATCTACAAGGACTAAACCTGTGGTGAAAGGATTACATTACAAAAACATAAACGTCTTGCCCCTCTTGGCCATGAACTAAGCTTCACTTTAAGTGAAGCTAATAAATGACCACATTCCGGGACAAAAAAGTCAACAGCAAAACAACACCAAACAAACCTGTTGATTTTCCAAGAAGCGATGCAATGCCTAGCACTTCCGTTCTTGATTCTGAATTGGAGAACGTTTGACACTCACCTGTGTGAAATAAGCAACAAACAAGCATAAGCAAGATTGTAAAAATAATTAAGGGCGTAGCTCTTGTCTGATAAAACGAAACATGGATATAAAATAATTTACCTACGCCATTAAGCTTTGACAAGGAAGAACCATCTGATTTGACCCTACAAACTTCAGTTAAAAGGTTATCGTCCAATTCCTTTTGTTTAGCATCTGATGCAACAACTAGTGATTTACTATCGGACACTCCCACAACTCGTAAATGAACTCCCTGCTTTGCAACAAATTATATCCAAAGCAATATAGTTATCACTCATCATCAATGAAATAACTCCAAAGACTTCTCCTTTAACTCATTTCACTCCACAAACAATTCACCCAAATGACAAAACACAACAACTTGAACAATGCGAAGGACGTTAGAATGAAAAGATGCTATTTTTAATGGAAATAAAAGAGACCCAACATCGGAAAAGATTGAAAGCGATGAAAGAAATGAGAAAGAGAAGTACGAGTTTGGCGTGAAGGGATCTGCAGGACACAATGTGCTGGAGAAGTTGGCTTCCAACACCTCCACAGCCCATTAGAATTAAAGGGATAGTCTTCATTATTCTGCTTCTGGTTGATCTTCTAGCTCTTGGGTTTCTTCTTTTTGGCTGATTTTTTATGAAACAAACCCTTTTTGAGAATTCTATAGACGGTAGATGAAGCCAAGGACAGTGAAGTGAAAAGAGAACTAATTTTTGATGACGTTGTCTCAAGTTTCTTACTTTCCTTCTTTCTCCTTTGATGGGTTTTGGACTTTTGGACCTTATTAGGGAAAACAAATGTATGCTCTCTTTTTTTTTTGTCTCTGTTCCTCTGGTATCAAACATTTTAGCTTTAGTCCAACATGTTACAATAACAATTTTCTCTCAGTATTTATTGTAAAAGCTTAATTATTATATTTAAGGCCAAATGCTTTTTTAGACTAAATTAATCTTATTTTATTAATATAAATCTTATTTTTTTAGAGATATAAAATAGGAGAACCTTTAAGAATTAAGACTTCTAAAAGAAATAAACAGTCCAAAACTTGTTTAAAATACAAATAGACATTAAAGCAATTATTTTTACTTAAAAGATGGTTGTCAAAAGAAATCATCAAACTAAATATAGGAGGACCAGTGAGAAAACTCTGTTTTTTATGCACCACTAACCGGGTAAGAATGGATCCGAAAAAGGTTGGTCCCGGGTCCAAAATAACGGCCTGGATTGTTCTCACTTCTCAGTTTCTCATCTGTGAGGGTGTTTAGCATGTGCTAACAAGACAATTTAGGGGGGTGTCTTTGTAAATTCGAAAAGTTTAAACAGCCAGAGTTTAGGGTTTCTCACTTTCTCAAGAAAAAAAATTTAAAAAAAAAAGATTTTTACTTCCAATCAAACGATCAATCCCTCACAGTCCCACTCCAAAGACTCCTTTTTTCCTTAAAATTCTTCATCTATAGTCTCCTTTTCGACCCACAGTTTGCGCTTCAAGATTTACATTTCCAGGTACTGCTTACCTCTCTTCATTTCCTTATAGTTGTCCGTGGAAAATTCATGAATTTGATCAACAAGTTAGTTTTTTTCTGCTATTTTTTTAACATGGATTTGTTTTTTATGATTCTGAGTAATGGGTATTCTTTAGTTTTAGTTCTCATGTTCAATCCATGGAGTTTCAGTTTTCAGCTCTTTAATTGTTTTCTTTGCTGTCGTGGATATGAGGAAAAGGCATTATTTTTTGTGTTCAATCTTTTTTTTTCTTACATTTTATGTGAACGCGTGTGTTCATCTGTATGCATAGTTATGTGCAGAACAATTTTTAAGTGATAACTTAGGGCCTTTAATCAATTTGAAAGTTGGGTTTATGGCTTTATAGTGATTAGCTAGCTATTCTCTCTTTGAGTTTCGACTTATTATTTTGCATTAATAGTTTCATGTAGTTGGCTGGAAAGGTGTGGTAATTGCATAACTTGATGAACTCTAATTCCTATGAGAGGTTATGTTGGATGTATGTGTGTGAGAGAGAGAGCACTTGGCTTTTTAATTATGTTGTACTGAATTGCTTCTTTTGTCTGATGGAAAACAATTGCAGATTGCTTCAAAAAGAATAGAATATGCGAGGAACTAAAACATAATTTGCTCACATAGTAAGGCACTTTAATGAAATAGTACTGTGCAGTCTATTAGTATGGATGTCCATGTGATTGATGCAGAAGAGGGTTTGGGCCATCGTGGGATGTCAGATGATGGGGATGGTGAACCCAATGAAGGTGGAGAA